CGGATTCTTACGAAGGAAGCGATACTCCATTACTGACAATGTGAGATCGGCAATATCCGGGCTAGCTTTACCACCCATTGGTACATCTTGTATTTGCTTGAATATGTAGCCACTAAACGTACGTGTGTTTCCTCAAGAATGATGCGAAGCATCGCCTTGACTTCATCCTTAGTGTAGGATATAACGTTACTTGTGAACTCGTTAGCATACCAGGTTTAGGTTTTACCTAGACTAACATATTCTTTACCCGAATTGTTGAAGCAAAGGTCAATAAGATAGAACAGTTTGTCAATAATGTAGAGATGTGGCAAACTGGTGAAAAGTTTGCTGAAGTCTGCGGTGTATAAATGTTCGATAGTCCTGCCTAGTGTAGTGAGCTTTTGAACTACTGTTAGCGAATTGGTGAAACTAAAACAGATGGGCCGTCCATTGCGTGTAGCTGTTTGGATACAGTAATTGCGAAAATGAGTTTTAAAGTGAACTAACAGGCGATGCATAGTAATAGCGAGGCTTCGGAGGGATGATTTATTTGCCGCCGATATAAATCTATATCCATTGGGGTCCTTAGGGGGCTTCGGAACAGTGTAAACGAAGAGTATGGAAGTATCATCAGCGGTGGCGCGAAGTTGAAATTTACTTGGAATTTTATGGTGTTCGGTGAGCTGTTCAACGGAAAACGATACCGGCCTATATACACTATTATCTTGAATGCTATTGGATGTGGTGAAACCAAGCTCATTGCAGTGCAGCAAAGCGCAGTACTTTTTGCACGTAATTATGTGGCTGTTCGACGCCTTGTCAACAGAGGTTATAACAAGTCGTTTATGTTCCTCAAGCAATGCTCTGTCAAAACCAGTGTTGACTAAATTAGAAGGAAAGCAACGATTAGCGGTTCAGCAACGTGCTACAACTAATATCCTGTTTTTGAAGTTGTCATACTGAGGAATCATGGTACCAGTACGCCTTGCCATAACAGAGATAAAGGTGTCCAAGGCATTGGAAATATCGGTTATAATTTCGTCTGCGGTTTTAATTATAGGTAATCTGAATTTAGTACCCTTCTTAATAACGTCTCTTAGTTGCTGGTTACGGATTATGTCTAGGTTACCCGTAACATTGTAACCGGCGGAGGTAAATTGAATGCGTGCATTGACACGGTGAAGATAATAAGTTAGCAACCTCCGCAGGTCTATCATTTAGACATCTGAGAAAGTTGGTATAGTTCATAATGCGACAGCTTACAGGATTTTGATATGTGAAACTGACAATGGTACGAGGAAACAGATGTATAGGAAATAAACGTCTCGCCAAACTGTCAAGAAAGATAATACGAAGACTGAGACTGATCAATACGGTTCCCGGATAAGAAATAGTGAAGTAGGAAACATCATCACAACTTGGACGTGCAGAAGTTTTAAGCCGGAAAAGAAAGAATTCTTGTAGGATGCAGACTTTTGCAAATGGCAGTACCTCAGTAGAAACTCGTTGACGAAGCATCCTCAGAGTTCTGTTGTTGGAACTGTAAAGTCTATTAAGCAATTGTCGAATTGCTTGAGGGATATCAATATCACAAGTAAGCGCGAAATCGATAGCTTCTTGGTTAACTAGTTTATTCCTACGACTGCGTCTACCATGCCTTCGGCATTTTCGGGGTAGCGGTACTTGGAAGTATGGGTTTTTACCCATAGTCAATGGAAGCAGCCCGTCTGTTATGGTCCCGTAAGCCATGATACAATCATTAGCCCGAAAGGATATGCCGTGTTAAGGCCTGTATCCAGAAGTGCTCTCGTTGAAATAGGATAGTGGTAGTACTGTCAACACATTCGACAATTTCAATGCCCATGAACTCTAGTCCGTGCCCAGGTAACTGGTAGTGATTGTAAAGGACAGTATTTGTTTCACGGACAACATTGTATCTGTGCTCCCTTGCTCGAGTTTGTAGAGTTCGTTTGCTTTGGCCTATGTATTGTATGCTGCAAGCTCTACACGTAATTACGTAAACTATACCAGCTGTTTTGCAAGTGAGCAAAGCGTCAGGATTGCATAAGGGGACAAAACGGAAGCCAGTGACGGAGGAGTGTACTAATCCGTCGGAAAAAATCATGCGGCAGCAGATACAATTGCTGCTGCAGGCATGTGTAGAATTGCAGATGTTATTATCACGTTCAGTAATTCTAGTAATACGACCATGTAAATCAACCCGAAAAAGTTGTTTAAATGTATGACGACCCTGTTGTTCAGCTAAATCATCTGTGGGCAATCTACTGAATGAAGTAGCACAGTTAACTATAGCTATTTCTTTTGCTGACCGTTAAGAGAAGGAATGCGCCAGGCCAAAGGCAAAAGCCTTTAAGGAACCGCGCAGCTGAGCAGGGCTACTGCCTACCGGGCTACGATCAATACCCAAATTACTCCTTCAGAGCCAGACGGTGCCAGGGTTCCCAGTCTGGTGACCTTTTAACCGGTAACCAGTGGAGGACCTCCCAAAACCGATAGCGGTCGAGAGGTGGGAAACTCTCTAAAATAAGATAAGCATAAGTGAGGTAGTGAAATGGTGGGATGAGGAACGAGTGTAACATTCAAAGAGCAAATGTGTAATATCCCATCCAAATGCGCATGTAAGTTAAGGTAGCATGAGCACATCTGTAGTAAACTAGTTGACTTTTGTTGTGGGATATGTTCAGGGGCGGGGAAAAGTGTTCCCATTGCAATCTACAAAATGTGAGGAGCAAGGAGTCTGTAGGCATGGGAAAATGTACGAAATGAGCAGTAGATGCTAACCTAAAAACAAGCAAAAGACCAAAAGTACCGTGATGCGTAGAGTTGATGACGTACATCCATCGTATTAGCAGAACAGAATAAGCAGTACAAATGGCTGATGTACGGGTGTTGTTAGGATGATGACGATGACGCAGACGCGGTGAAGATATTCAGTCGAATCTTCTGTTTCTTCTTAGTAGACGAGTCGATGCGGTTGTCCTGAAGAGTAAGATAAGGACTGAAGTAGAATACGCCTTTATATTGCCTCTAAGCGCGGGAAAAGTCCGATAGTGATAGTACAGGCGGCACCAGATCAAAAAATGTCAGAAGATTTGTCTGAAACATTCTAAACCCGACGAAACTAAAATGGAGGTAGGCGGACGTGTTTGTAGGGGACAAAGAGTAGTTGTGTTTGGGTGGGAAATGTTTTAAGGGTGTGTATAGGAATTAAGTTAATAAAGGTAACATACAAACGGGAAGTGTAGTACGAGCAGTAAGGGACGTAAGAGAATGTAACTAGAAGTCGGTCTTACGACCAAAAATTTGGTGCATGCTCCTAAGAAACATGCTGCATATAGCTGGAGAAGCCAAAAAACTTTCTTATTTGCGTGTTGGCTAATGGTAGCCAACACTGGAAGACAAGAGAAGAATAGTGTAAGAAAACTGGAAATGTTGCGAGGGGACAACACCCCACTAGGCGACGGTTTTCAACTGTCAGCGCTAGCGTATGCTGCAAGTTTGAATATGAGAACCTACCAAGCAATGGACGGAGAGCGGAAATTAGCCCGTAACAGCAAGTGGACATCACTTTAAAAAAGAATGCCTACAGCGAGTTCAGCTTTGTGCATTACATTCTCCCACTCGTTCAGTATTGGAAGGCATGCATAGAAATC